CACTTATTAACCTTTTGCTAACAATACCGAAGGCGTGTGCGTTGCTGCTGGGTACTCAATTGCTCCGGCTGCATAAAGCATTCCTGAGTTGGCTTGAGCAGTGTTGACTAGTAAATGCATGTTTTTATTCCGATATCAGTTTGGTCTGGAGAACCGAGAGGGGACGTTGCGATGAGAAATGCGATTCATCCCAGACTAGATTGACAAGTCCGGTGAGCAAACTGACGTGCGAAACATGTGGTCATTTGGCTGCACTGCTGAGGTTTATTACAGCTCAGAAGACAAACTTGTTGCGGAGCTCCTCTGAGCTCACCTGTCACCATGTGGCGACTAAAGCTAGACTAGCAACCATTGTGCACTTCCCGCTGAAGCCGCAGTGACCCGACTGAGCTCTCCTCAAGACACTGCTGTACGTACGGTCTCAAGTCGCAGTGAACCAACTGAGCTCTCCTCAAGACACTACATGACAACTCATATGATTTGTCAACTCCCATCATATGCCATTGTAGGGAGCGAAAGGTAACGATCACACGGACTTGGTACCCGCAAAGACGTGAGAGCATAGAAACAGGCACAGGCATAGTGAACGAGATCAGAGAACGGATCGCAAGCGACGAAGGAAAGAGGGTCTGAGTCAAAGATCAGATAGAAACGCCTTTGTCGCTGACTCCAAAAGCAACCCTAAGCAGAGTGATTCAACGGCGATCAAGCGAATTAAGAGCCTTAGAACCAATCCAGATCAGTCAAAATGCGACTTACGGTAGCGGATACGGCGGTCAGACATGCAGGAAAGATGCACCAACCTGGGACAAAACGACGCAAGAAGGTGACGAGCAGTCAGTTTCCATGTGCGAGAGCTTAATGAACCGTTGTCTAGCGCAATAAATATTGTGCTTCTTTGCCACCATTCTCGATAGATACTGTATTCTGTTGCCATATTATTAAGATATAAACACGAAAACATAGAAGGCATACTCGTCTTTGACTAAGTAAAACTTTCTCTATCGGATTTTCGCTCATTTACAGGTCTCAGTGTAGTCTTGCGAGTTTATGCGCTCCGTCTCCAGTGTCAGCTCGCGGCGAAGTCCCTTTGGCCTTAGAACTCAACTGTCTACTCTACACGTGGAGTGCAGTGCGGTGAAGAATGTTTCTTGCGTTCAGACTAAGAGTCGAAACAAGTAGGACGTGTTATAAGAGAAGTATACATAGACTAGTAACCAAACACATGTCACGTACTGAATGGACCCAGATCAACTTACGTAGAGCAAACAGTGAAGAAAGTAAAATGAAATCTAGTGGACTCTATTGACATTATGACGGGAAGGAGGAATATGCGTAAGAGCGACTGTCAACGTGGTCCACTGAAATGCAACCCCCTCTCAACGCAAGCAAGTCGAAGTTCATCAGTATCACCAGACGTCCAGCCACTCGCTCATACACCTTGGACGGCCAGTTGCTTCATCCCAACACATCTGTCAGAGACTTAGGAGTTCTCTCACGACATGATATGAGATCACTAGGAAATACAGAGAAATTGTACCGTGTGGGACTTCGTATGCTCTGGGCATTACAACGCAGTTTCTCCACATGGTCCGAAGAAACCATCCCTCGTCTATACACCTCGCCCATTAGACCAATCCTTGAATACGGTGCCCTAATTTACCATCCGAAAACCCAATGGGAAACTGAAAAGCTGGAGAAAATACAGCACATCACAATTAGAATGATACCAAGTCTACGAAAGCTTTCGTATGAAAAACGTTGTGAAACGCTCGGACTCTACATACTATCCTACCGCCGATTAAGAATTGACCTTATTATGACCCATCGAGTACTACACTTTAATCACTTCCCCATACTGCGGCCAATATTTCACCTGCTGGAACCCTGTAACAGCCGAGGACACCGTTAGAAATCCAGGGTCCCCAATATGAACAAAGTATCACATCAGCTTTGTATCGAATGAAGAATCGTAAACTTATGTAATACACTACCAGAAGGATTAATAGGGGCTGATTCTGTGAAGTGTTTTAAAACCCGTATCGACGATTATTTCGGAAACCTGTGCTTTTGTGAAACGATGCACATACAATGCCAAAAGAAGACATTGTATGCCCGGAAATAATGACACTAGTACAAATTCCTAACCGAACAAGGATAAACGATTAACGAGCCAGACACAACTGCTGATGATTCACAACTAAATGTTTTTGATTTTTTGTAATTCGATCGATTTGTACAGAAACCTTTCTACTTGCCCTTAAATACAGTCTCAGTCTTAGAGGAGGAGGAGGCTAGCAGCAGCCAAGGGAGTAAGACAGGTAACTGCTGCAGTTGTTTATGATGCCAGAGAGAGAGACAGGGATCAGGTTTACTATGGATAAAGGATGCTCATAGCTTTGCATGATGAGATGGTTAGCCAACACGTAGAAATTTGTCCTTAGATAAAACAGTGGCACGGTGCGTAAAAGTGAATGTGACCATTAGGAAGGAAGGAGAAAGTAGCTGAATTATTAGAGCCACATCTTTGGTGCCTAAAAATAACGCCCTCACCATCGAGTAAATATAAGCACACAGGCACGAAAACTGTGGTATATCGCAAACAGCTTGTAAGTCTGTCGTCGTCATCTGTGGCCCAGTGGCAAAGGCTACACTGATTGATGACGCAAACCGCCAGTGTCAATAAGCCACAGATTCGGTTTCTGACGGAGCCGAAGAAAGCGCACTGCTGAAAAGTCCAAATAGGATGAAACGGCCGTCTAGCGATTTTCCGGACGCTTGAAATGCCACTTGACTTGGAATATACAGCAAAGAAACTTCGAGTAATTGCCAGAGTCGTAATAGCAAATGTATCATGTCTGTAATACTGAAATATTGCTTCCCATTTCTGCGTACCGTTAGATTTCTCGGAGCTATCGTAAATGATTATCTCGTACAGTCCTCATATGCACGGGCAAATTTTATTTTTAATATATTCGTCCCAGCAGCTCACAAGCTACATAGCTCAAGCCTAATCCGGAAAAGCACCAGACGCGTTGCGCCCTATTGGGGCTCGTCAGTGGTGCGCATTCCCTCGATCCCCTACTGGGGATCGAACCCGTGACCGCTGGAGGCTGATGACAACTAATAATAAAAAATAAGAATGTGCCAGCTGTACGCCGTAACTGCGTTTCGCTGCCGTGCGACCATCATCAGTCTCGTGCAGGCTGAGTATACCGCGAGGACGCTCACTCCTACGCGGATTCGAACCGGTGACCTTATGGTTGCAAACCAAACGTGCAGACCACTCGGCCACCGACCGAGTGATGACAACTAGCCACCAGCTTAAGCCACTGAGCCATGGGGGACGTTGGTTGGGCTACATAATCTGCAAGCTAACTGGGATACAGCATGACGAATCATCATCCACTGCCACATAAGTTACTACCCTTACAAATGACGGTGGCTAGCCCACAGGTCATGGCTTTCTCTCACCAGACGCTGCGTTCACAGCATTTGAAACTATGAGACGCACCATTTGATTTTTGTCCGTGTAATTTAATTCGTGTTCAACACTGACAAAACTTAGCGCGTGGTTTCATCACTATCTCACAACCATTGCGTATTATAGGTGGGTAACTAATGCATACCTTCTGTCCTCTTAACACTAGTTTGAAACTTTCAGAGTGATGGAAGAAAATGCGCGCGTTCGAACTGGAAAATGAAGGACCTAATAATTACAGGTCAAATACGAGGTGTGTATTCGGAAGCGGAAACTCACTGAGAAAAATTGCTTGATTATGGCAAATTAGGTGACATATACATGGGCTGGGCACAGTAGCCACTGGCGGTCATCTGAGAGATACTTCTTAAATCGAAACATTCAACATGTAGTTAAACGCTTACAACCGCTCGTTGTGGGTGACAGATAAATAATTCAGTTGCGGTCGGTGAATCTGAGCTATTTGTTTGCACTACTGACATATATCGCTGTAATTAAAAAAGGGCAATCCTCAAACTACCTACAGTGGAAATAAGTTTCCTTTAGACCAGTGAAGTGGTTAACTGAAGCTGAAGAGGGTGTGTTGCCAGCACACTGTTGAGCGCGTATGCGGTAAAAACACGCAGGGAAGGGGACACTAACACAAACGTTGAGAGGTTAGCGCAATTAATCATTGGAACACCGACTGGCGAGCTCAGAGTAGAACCACAGGGTCGGATCCCGACACTACGATTAGATGAAAAGTCGAGAAGCCGGAAATAGGTTAAAAGTAGGACAGTGAGGACAAAACAGACACCGAAAATCGGATTCCTACACGCTTGGAAAAGAGCAACGGTGCGAAACTTTGCAGTCTAACGAGCTTGGGGGCCTGGCGCAATTAGTGGTCATGTGTTTAGCTGGCAATTTGTAAGTAGCGTGAGCAATCCACCTTGAGAGGATTCAATAAAACATTCTATGATAGATGATCAATAAAACCCCACTTAGTAAACAGGTTATCGATCGTGAGACCTTGAGTAGCTACCTCGGAGTGTAAGCTGCAAGTGAGGTAAGACAACCCGATGCAACAGAGAAAGTGAAATTGATCAGGAAAAAGGTTGGGTTGAAAGACAGCACCAAAACCCGGAAGACGAACAAGGGATGGGTAGAGCTAGAAAAAAATACTGCAAGCAGTCAGTGCATTAGAAGCAAACAATGAAGATGGCGTGAAACGCGATGATACGTACAACGTAAAGCCATGGGGTAGAGAAACGAGTGTTGGGGAGTAAAGACTAAATGAATGAAAGTGTACCACAAAATTGGTGGTGATGGTGATAGGATGAGAAAAGCAGCAAATGAGCTGATGAGAATGACAATGGGATTGGCACAAGCGGCATGCAGAGGGTTGATGGGACACGAGGGTGGGTTACACACGATGAGCACAAAAGACGGGGAGAAAACGAATGGAACAACAAACTGAACAAGGCACAACGCAAGCGAAAATGAACAGACAATCCAAATGGACACAAACAAGTGAACTGGTCTATAGTTTACCAGTGTCTTGTTGCTCAAATAAGGGATATTTGGATTGTGCATCTGACCAAGCCATGAGACCGTTGGACAAATTGTTGACCAACGAGGGTAACTCATCAAGCTATAGAGGTAAGGCAGAAGGAGATAAAAGTAGAAGTACAGTGAGAATCGACAGAAATCCAAGGAATGAACAGCAGGCAGGGGTAAAGTAATCAGGTGTTGCAGAATATTGCGATTAACGTAGCACATATCGGAGGATATAGGCGACGAAGTGTTACGTGAGTATTCAAAGGCAAGTTATTTCATAGTAGCTATCGTGCAGTTAAAGCATTCGTTTTACATTATTGGGTTGAATAGGCTGACTTTGTTTGATTGAAGGGGGGGACTGCACCCACCTAAGAGTTCGTCCTAATTTGTGATGGATTTTCGCAACCAAACGTATTCGGACATCCAGCACTGAGCCAGAGGCGGCTGCGTCTTAGCTCACAGGTGGTATCCTAGTTAGCATATCTTCTGCATGGAATCAGTTCGGCAGAAGATTGTCGCGATTTCTCCCGATACTCGTGAAGGCGCTGGGACCGGCTAATTTATGATATACTAGGCGTTCCTAATGCGACGGTGCCGTCCGTGGTCCCAGTGGTAAAGCCCACAATCAAGTGAAAATGGAAACAAGCTTCCTTTCCCCAGATTTGTAAGCATTCCATTTATACACAATAATTATGTGTAAACCATGAAGGAAACGATTAAGATGATCGATGGGTGGGTTCGGCGTACTCATGATGGACAACCAATACAACTGATTCTCGTTATGTGAGGTGTTATGGGGAGCATCGTCACCGCTAGTGTGTTCTTTGAAGAACTGAGTGTAAGCGGATTTCCGTTGAAATAATGGGCTGGCTAAGCGAAGTGTTTGATACAATCATCTGAACTAATGGGCGTCAGCGGCAGACCGGCACACCGTATTGACGCTTCGCTGTCACGCGACCACCATCAGTCGCGCGTGGGCTGGGCACACAACTAAGGGTCGCAGGGTACAGCTGATCGCATCCGGAAGAACAGGGCACATGTTCTTTCTAGCCCCGAAATGTTCAGTGGAACAATAAGTGGTATATACATCGCGCAATGTCACATGATTGAGCGACAATCAGATAGAAAACTCGCGAGAAGCAACTGATCATAAGCGTACTTGTTGCGATGTGTTACACATTGGATGGACAGTGTTTGTCGGTGGCCAAGTAGTTCAGACATCTCGCTTGAAATTCACAGGTCGCCGATTCTAGACTACGCAAGTGCGGGTGAGCCCGCAATTTTCCCAACCCGCGCGCGACCGCTGCTGGTCGCGTGGTAAGCGTTCTCTCTATAAAAAGCCGAGAGGCTCTGCATAACGCAGCGACGTGGCTCCCCACTAAATAAGGTCACTGCCCCTTGTTTCCCTCGGAGACACTGTAGATCGACTGGCAATCCGGGTATCGGATTCTGTCTTTGAGTTCGGGAGTGTTGGGTCTCTGGTTTGGCTTTTCGCTATCTGAAATAAGTATGAACTGATTGATCAGTCACCGACTCCCAACAGGTGCGAAACCCTTATCTTACCCAGCTGCCTTGCAAGTCAGGCTGATTGGTCAAAGGCTCGGGGCCGTGGTGCCCAAAGACAACCTATCTACTTCGGCCTAGGCGACCGGGTAGTAGGTCGCCTACTGACAAACTATGGAATCCCACAATTACGTTCACTCTCCTCCGGCCTCATTAGGATCCCCTGTATTGCTACTACGTCAACTTTGCAAGCATACGCCACTAATTCACCTATCCTTCTCTTGTATCATTCACCCCCATTCCTCAAAGGTAAACAACTCAACCTCTGCCGATGAAGTTATTCTTTTGTCATCCGTTAACACAACCATACAGTCGACAGGGAACTACCAACCCCTGAGTCTGCCATCTTCGCTACTGCACCCTGGAATGCGGTTCAAACTAGCATGTTGAAGATCGGAGAGCGAGGTGGACTTGCACGCATGCCAAAGACCCTTGCAGTTGATGTCTGCTGAATGAGTGAAACGCGACTTAGGAATTCCAACAGTCTACCAGCTGTCGTCACCAGTCCAAGCACACACACGCCTCTACGACTATTTTCGGTGACGCCGAGTCTGCCGCATCTGAGCAAGCTGGTGCTGGGATCACCGCCCCCTTGATTGGATTCCAATCAACCGTCACCTCCGCGTTATGAGGCTCCGTGGATCTTGCAAGGTTAGCAGACATCGAGCAGACAAGCGTGCTCTTTTTGTGATCTACGCCTACGTGCCCACTGACTGCAGCTCGGACACAGTCAAGATCCAGTCCTATCGAGATGAGCTGCTCCTAAGGGCACCTAAAACAAATATCACTATTATGTCAGGTCTATTAACAGCTGAAATCAAGCCTCTGCTCTGATCGTGAATCAAAACGAGCTGATGAGATGGGAGTCGTTGTATCGGATGGAAACTTCCGCAGTCTGTTTTACTTCATTAAGGCCACTGATCTCGATTTACATGCTATCAATCAGACAATTTGTGTGTCAGACGGCACAAAAATCACCAACATACACAGGCGCCTGAGCAGGTGGTAAAGCACTTCGCTCTCCAATTTAACTACCCAGAACAACCCAATGTGACACCACAGTTACTCTTGGATAATGCTCGGCCAGCTCTCACAGATCCTCCTACGGAAGCATATCCGAAAAGTGATCCAATCTTTGAAGCGTGATTAAGCTCCTAGTCCTGACAACCTACTTCCGGCTCCATTCAAAGATGGCGTGGAGTCAATTGTCAGAGAAATCCAATCACTGTTCACGAAGGTTAAGAGCGACGAAAAAGCTCCAACTGCAGGTGGAGAATCGGTTATTGTCCAGATTCACAAGAACGGCTCACACAAAATTACGCCAAGTGCCGCGGAATTCTGTTTATTCAGTTGCGTCCCCACTCCACAGGCTTCCAGCAAGTAGAGAGGACGTTTCCCGAGAGGAACAGACCGGTATTTGTCCAGACGGAGATTGCATCGACCAAATCTTCACAATCCGCCAACTTCTTGAACTCCGTCACGTCCACTGACAACCAACAATCGTGGAGTTCTTGGACACGCGAGTGGCATTGACTCCGTAGATAGACCTGTGTTGTGGGACTGTCTAAGAAGGACAAATGTGCTCGACAAGTTTTTAACCATGCTGGAGGAACACTACAGCTACACGTCAGGCAAAGTCGGGGCCTTACAGTAGGCTTCCCTTTATTGTTACCAACGGCGCGCGCCATGGCTTCCCTATTCCACCTTTCGTCTTTAATTTGTCAATGGATGTCATCCAACGATCATTGGAAGGCGTGCAAAACTGCAGGATTAGGTTTCTCTCAGGTGACAGAATCACGGACTTGAACTACGCCGATGATATCGCTTTGCTTGGGGACGATCCAAAAGCGGCCCAGAACGCTTTGAACCGCTTAGCGATGGACACGTCTAGGTATGGACTGTATTCCACCCAAGGCAAATGCAAAATACTACTCCAGGATTGGTAGATGCACGTGCCTGCCCTCACCATTACTGGTGGCGTTCTTGGGAGTTGCAACACGGCTGGCGGCTAACGGATCGCGAAGTCACGCCTTGTATTCATCAAACTGACACACTTATGGCGTCGTCGAGATGTCAGTCTCAGGCTGAAGGGTAGGGTGTATAATGTTTCTGTCCGCGCAGCCCTCTTCTACGGCTGTGAGACCTGGCCTATTCGCTCGGAAGATATGAAACGAATTCCAGTTTTTGACAATTGTAGTCTATATATATATATATATATATATATATATATATATATATATATATATTTGCAAAGGTCTACGAATAGACCACGGGATTCAAACGAAGGTACAGAAATAGTAAAAGAAAACACAACACAACAATGTTCATGGTTTCGTCAGAGGGCGAGATACTCCCCGGTTGCCCAAGCCGAAGTAGGGTGTTGACTTAGGGGACACCACCCCGAGCCTTTGGCTGAATAGCCTGTCCGCAAGGCAGCGGAGCGAATTCAGGGAATCACGCACACTGAGAGCCGGTGACTGATTGCTCAGTTCATGCGCCTTTTGTTTGTTCCTTCGTCAAACAGGGGCCCAATGCTCCCCAGAACTACAGCATAAGGTTGCTGGAATACAATGCTTCGTCAGGATGAAGCAAGGAGCAATGACTTCATTTAGTGGCGAGTCACGTCCGCCACGTCACAGTGTTGTTAAACGGACATGTGTGGCTTTTTATAGGAAGAATGCTTGCCAGGCGAAAACCCACCACGTCCTGGAACACTGCCGCCGAACCATTTGCTGGAACGGGAAAATCCCGAGCCACCCAGTTGGCACCACGATGAGGTTGTTCGGCAAGTAAAAGCACGTAAGAAATACAGATATCCGATGCCGAGTGCTTAGATCAACAGCCCATGCCCTGAAAATGTTATTCTCCGACACCGCATGCGTTGTCTCGACTATGTTCTATGCATGCCAACCTATCGCTTTCACCGTTAACCGTTATTTGCGAGCACCGGATAAGACTGAAAAGAAGTGCCGCAGTGAGCAACCTATGACGCGCAGAAGCAGCATGAACAAGGCAACCTCCAGCTGAGCATCCGTCGGACTGGTCCGCCTTACAGGATGGGAACCATGGTTGGAAATGCTGGAGGTTATGTCACGCAGCAGACATCAGCGGCGACAGTTGTTAAACCGCATCCTTTGTTAGTTAGTGTTTAGGTTAACATAAAAATCAAAGTGGCGTGTGTTAAACCAAAAAAGTTGTCAGTTTCTGCTAATGTAATTCGTTATTTTCCCTTTTGCCATGGTTCCGATGGCACATTGTCTGCAATCAGGTTGTGGATCTTTATATACAACCTACTTGTGTACTGAACGTACAATCAATTTACGGACATCATCGATGCCATAAAGAAGTGCAACGAGAGCTCTAAATGCGTGCAAAATCCAGATTAAGGCAACTAAGAAAAGGTAGGCCTTTCTACGCACATGCATTAAGATCGTAGATCCTCAAGATCACATGTAAGATAGTCTGTGGATAGACGAAGCATCGCAACGTGGACCGATAACATGCGTAATTTGAGTGGACACAGAGAAATAAGTGAGATATACCCTGGAAAAGGTGCTGCAAAACATCTACAGAAAGGGATCACCAATATACACGAGAAGTGGATTTCGATTACGAGGGTTAGTAGTGAATTCCTAGTTGTTGTACAAAGAGTCGACCACAAAGTATGGTAGTGGCGAAATGTACACAGATTGTTCCTACCTGAAGAAACTCAGCAAAGACCGGCAGAGTAAAGAGTTGTGCCAATATGATTGCAATAGTAGTAGAGCAAGCACAAGCGCGACAAAGAAAAATAACTGTTTCGGGTGCATTTGATATCACAAATTGCAACGCTATCAACAAATCTTCCTCTAAGAGGTGTGCGGGCGGGGTAAACGACGACGAAAGTTATCCTACTGGTACTGTGTGTCAATGCTTCGCAGACTAGTGTGGCCGAAAGCGGTTGCATGTGGCTGGGATACTTCAAATGCACTCAGACCCATGCAGGGGTGAAAACTAGAAGCATTGGCTGTACAACAAACGCCTGATCCGCTTAAGCGAGGACCCTTAATACAATGTACATTAAAGTTCAATGCTGCAAACAGGGAAGTGCTAACGATGGAAATCACCCGGCAGGGAATTTAGCAACAACATACATCGATCTGCAGAGTTTGGATAATGCAACAGCGGCAGTTGGTATCAGGTGAACACCAGCGGTGAGAGGCATGAAATGCACAGGAAGAACATGACGGAAACCAATTTGCCTGGCACCGAACGAAGAATAACAGACTAACGCAAATGAAATTAAGTAACAGCAGAGGTGGGTGTAATTCGGCGGCGTGAACCGCAGTGTCCAACGCGACAGCGAAGACTCACACGTCTCTGTCACAACACTGAGTGCAAAACAAGGTCGTCGATTGCGCCGCGCGTGTGAATAGCATTGTAACAAGAGGAAATACCATCGAGTATAGACGGACGGAAGGTGAATGTGGGTTACCTAAATTATAGCTTTGACTGTTCGATTCGATTGGGTTTACTTGGGAAGAGTAAACTCCAGGTTTCACACTAAACACTGTTTTAATATCGGACACACACACACACACAAAACGGTGATGCAGAGTTTGATAAGAAGCTAGCCACATTTGGATAGAAGATAGGAAAAGAGATGAACATACCGGCACGCGAATTTGTCCCATTGTGTCACGCTCCCGCAGGGTCGCGGAGGCAGGTGATTTATTCACTGTATCAAAGTCAACAGTTATGCCGTAGGGGATGGCAATCTGATCCGTTCGAGCATATCGGCGACCGATGGAACCACTGCTGTCATCCACACGGTGGGTTACGCCGAGACGAGTGAGGGCGGTCGCTGAAACAACAATGGTACGATGATAATCGAAAGCGTTGAGGAAGTATTGATAACAAGAAAGTGAGGCTATGCTGAGACCATGCATACTGGCAACTTACACAGCTGAGCGACAAATGGGGTGAACGATGGATGGGACGAGAGCGGCAGGACAGAGCATTTGTATGGAGCCAAAATCGGAGGAACAGAGAGGTACTGCGGACAAAAGAGACACACCAAAAGTTAAAGGAAATACACATATGAACAAAGGCCACCAAAAAGACTGGGCTGAATGAAATACAACGCGGGAAGGTTAGGGATTGGGAAATGGGCAACACTGGGATATACCGGCGAGCGGCATTAACACAGGCTGGAAAGAGCAATATATTTGAAAAAGCATCAAAGGTACGTCGTACCGACACCTTATTGCCACAGCAGTCAGATGCGGGCTATGGATACTACCGGGTCACCCGCAGGTGCACATGCTCCAAGCAATGATGATATGTGGAGTACGAGGCTGACTCTGAACCACTCGGTGACCGGCAGAAAGCAAATTTAAAGTGATTCAACATGGAACAGTGAAGCGGAGCAAAAAGCAATAGAATATCGATTTAAAACAAAGGGTGAAGACTATCACAGACCATGAAACGCTTAGTGCATAGCTTAAGAAGGAAGTAGAAGTGAGCGTCTGAACTTAGGTAGAGAGCTATGTGGTAATGGGAAAGACATACCGTTCTCTGCTCATCGCCATCTCGGATTCTGAAAGAATGCTCGAATAGCACGTAGAGAATCCTGCCGATGCCAAAGGACGGTTCGATTACGTTTGGTGTGAATTCCTCCACTGGTAAAAGTATAGTAGAAATGGAAAAGGTAGTGGTTAAAATCATAATAAGTAAACAAGCCAAACTATAAACAATACAGAGCAAATTAGTTAAAAAGCGTGAAACCCTCAGCTTTATATATGGTTGGCGGCATCCGGTTTCGGATTTGCCTGTCACTGTGCCTAGCCACAGGACGCCTGCGACTACAGAGAGACCATGGGTGGCTTGCGCTGCACCACCCACAGCTCCAACCACACACCCCATATCCAGTGTAAACCCGAAGGAATAAGACCGGGAGGACTGCGGATTGGAGCCACGTTTCATCAACGGAGCCGGCCCACACTCCTTCACAGGCAAACATAAGCACGCCGTATTTGAGGAATCAACCGGACACAAGGCGGTGGCTGGACCGTAGCCAACTCCACACTGAGTGCATGGAACCACTCTTTGAGCCTAGCACGACCACAAGGACCGTGCACTCCGTCCCCTCCAGCAACGACCAACTATCTCCTAGAGACAGTATGGACGAGGTAGTGGGTAATAGACAGGTAGACACCTTGTCAACATGCACATCAAGCGCAGCCGCATCGAGGATGTCAAACAATAGCCAATCAGTTGTAATGACAGTAACAAATAAAAGATATCTGTTAAAGAATACGGCTATGCAGACATAACTTCCCTAAATTAGCATGTGAAGTATGTTGGTTTGCAACGAATCCGCGATAAGTAAAAATGTCCAGAAGTGACTCGGAAAATGCTACAAACGCAATAAAGTTAACGAAGATAAGCACAATTACCGCAAGCAACGTGGAAATTTAATAGAAGATTATTCCGGTAAGCAGAACAAATCAGATGAAGTGGAATGAAATTTATCCATCTTAAAAAGGGACCTAGTTTAAGTGTAAGTTGGTTTAGCCCAACTGCGGTGAAGAATCATCATGAATGCAACATCAGCCTCATCATGGGGCATATATATATATATATATATATATATATATATATATATATATATATATATATATATATATATATATATATATATATATCATGGAAGCGCCCCAGATAACGGACGTCCTTCTGATAAAGCGTTTAAGTTTCAAGGATAAGTAGAATACCAGACAGAAGTAATGAGTGGAATACCAACAATTTCGTCCCAACTTTCCAAGTGCCGCAGCTGCCTTCGATAAGCGCATGCGTAGCTCGCTCGTTATGTGCAGTTCGGCAGATATTGTGCTCCCAAGGTAAAAAAAATCACGGAAAGGGGTTCCCAAAACGTCAAAACCTATGTGGATTGCGACAAGCATACAGATTCCATTTCCGACGTAGGCCGAAAAAGACAGTTTTGATGTGTTGATAATGCGTCCCAACTTGGCCGCTCCCGAAGCCGGAGCCGAAGTCATGCGCTGCAACTCATCTGGGTCGTGTGCAAACAACCCAGAGTCATCAGAAAACATCATCATCAATATACATTAGCTGAGAGTGAGAAACACCCCTCAGCAAATGTGCCGTAATAAAAAAATAAGATACTGAGATACCAAATTTTCAAAAAAGCAAGATAATGTTAAATATCGTAGTATGCGTGCGGCATGAAATGGGATTGGAGGGAGAATCTAAAGGAGAGAGGGGTGGACAAGGAAACACAACACAAACGCCACTGGGGCCGGCTCCTCGCCAAATCAGCAAGTGTATCCAACCGAAAGTTTTCATCGTCTTTGGGAACCCCAGCCCGGCAGCACCAACTAAAGTGAGGGTTTTCAATCCTCTTGACCAAGTCATCGCTTAGACTCCTATCTTCCTTGAGGGATCGGACATGGCGAATTTACAAAAAAAATCAGCTCAGAAAACTGGACTGTGTAGGTGGCACAGGGCAATTACCCTGTGCAGTTGGTTCGTTATCACACAAGTCATCACACCAACAGGAGCTAGCGAAACGATTCTGTTCGAACCATAAGCTTCTCTACAGACAAGTGGATGGGTGCAAGGCGAAATCCCACAACCCACTACGTTGGTGGGTATATGCAGACGGCGAAAAGGGCGGCAAATGCCTTACGGGTCCAGTCCTTAAGGGTTACAAGCCTTTTCTGTCACTACACCATCCGTGTTTTCCAGCATCACACTCAGAGCAGAAACGGTGCTGAAAAAGCTACCGTGCTTGCGTACACACAGTTCTCCTGCAGTGGATAACGTTCATCTAAAGCACCCAACCCAACCACTCGTTGGATTCTTTCTGCGTTGTGTAGAGGAAAGGAGTTCCGTCAACATAGAAACAGGGTATCTGACCTTGCCAATTATCTCCCGGTGAAGCTACAGCATCAATGCGTTGGAGCAGCACATGTTTCGTCAACATGGATCATGCACCATGAATCTGCTGCTAGCACGTGACAAATGGATGGAAACAGTCGACAAGAGAAGGAAAAACATGTTGTCTACATGGGCTTTTCGTAAGCCTTCGAGCGCTTGGATAATCGAATCGTGTTTCCCAAATTTCAGCACTACGGCCTCGGAGATGCAAGATTAAGATAAACTGGTAACTTTATCCGCGAATGGCAATTGGAGATTCGAGTCCGAACATCTCTATACGATCCGATTCGAATAGAGTGTGGCGTAACGTAGGGTTCGGTACCAGGGCATCGCTTGTTCTTAGTTTCCATTAACGATGTAGAGAGAGTTAGCACCTCATAATTGTTACTCTTAGCGGACGACATTAAGGTTTGATGGGCGATCAAGGGAGTGGACGATCACGAGATCCTCCAGCGTCACCTCGATGAGGCATGGCATTATTGGTCGGTGAGGAATACATTGCCATTCAATATGGACAAGTGCCACGTTGTCCACATTCGCCATCGACACCCCCTACATCTACAAACTTGGGACGCACGATCTGCAGACAAGCTCTTAGGAAGGTGACCTAGGTGTGCTGGTACCGGACAACCTCGGTTGTTCCAAACAGTCAGTGTCCGCAGCAAAATGTCGTAACAAGCATGTTGGTCTCTTGTGGAGGACATTCGGGAGTTTAGAGCCACTCATTTTCTGTCAGATGCACAACGCCTAAATGTGCCCCACGTCGAATACGTAATCCAGGCTGGGCATTCTTGGCTAAACCGTGACCTTGAGGCGCTCGAAACTCCCCAAAGTCGTGCGACAATTTGTCAAGAGGTTGCGCCACCTTCAATACCAGCAACGACTGAAGTCAATCGGAGTGTTCAGTGGACGCCATAGGTGGCTACGTGGAGACCACATATCAGTTTACCAAATACTGAGCGATCCCAGTCACGTATGCCGCCACCTTTTGTAACTCAGCCCGAAAACCAACCACAGAGGCAATAGCTTGAAAATAAGTCAACAATACAATCGTCTAGATTGTCGCTGAACGTATTTCTCCCTCCGGGTCTGCCAACCCGTATTTCTAAACCCAATTGTCTACGCCCCCACACCATCCATTTCCAAAATCGATTGGATATCGAAATGAACGCTCTACACTTTGTTACACGAACGGATATTCTGGATCTATTCAGACTAACAAGACTCTTTGGATTTATGACTGACACGTAGAGGGGTGGTGAATCAGGCTACTTTCTGCAATGAGCATCAGCCATTACAATTGGTTATTTCGTTTTGTTCGGCACTATCGCACTATCCCAACCCACTTACTATACGTCATTTCTCTATCGGCTCACCGATGCGCATTTTTTGGTTCACCTATTGCAATCTCAACTGCTACGATCAACCAACAGGAAAAGTTAAGCTTATACTTTTTTACCCGACATAAACCAATGTTCCAATGTTATTCCATCCGGACGCGGGACGCGAAATTGACGGACAACATGTGGCTCAGCCATCGGAGTCTAGTGAGCGATACAATAAGGTTGAACCGCTCAATCGTTCTTGCTGTACCAAAGAGGCGACGCCGAACACGCTCATTGCTCACGCGGTGATCCCACCAGACATGAGCTAAGCTGCGAAGACAGCGATGATCGAAAGTATCTAGCCTCTTTATTTCTGTCGACTTGATGGGCCAAGTTACACAACCGTACAGGAGGGTTGTTCGAGCAGCTGCGAGAGTAATGTCACGCCGGCGTCAAAGATGGCGGAGAGTAGCAAAAGAGCAACGAGTTTTTGCTATACGGTTTGTGATCTCATCCTCGACAAACGGGCGTTAATAAAGCTGTCCAGATAATTTAATTCCTGAACGACTTCAAGCTGATCACCACCAAGGGTCAAGCTTGGAGAATGACTTTGCATTTCGATGGAGCGAAGCACCACTCTAAACGATTGACTGCCAGTGCTAATCTGTCCAGTGCTGCTTGGCATGTTTGGGAGCTGTTGCAAATTAGCACAATGTCGTCAACATACTCCAAGTCAAGTAGTCGTTAATCAGGAAGTAGCTACACGCCTCCTAGGTCGCGCCCAGCGAACGCTGTTACCATGACTTCGTCAATGGTGAAGATAAAGCGAAAAGATGACAGAGGGCAACCTTCTCTTACACCGCTGGAGATACTGAAGGGCGGCGACATTTTGTCATAAACTCTGTCAGAACTAGCTGGCTAGCCGAACAACCTCCTCGTGGTGCCAGCTCGGTGGCTCGGGTTCACCCCGTTCCAGCAAATCGTTCGGCGGCAGTGTTCCAGGAGGTGGTGGGTTTTCGCCTGGTAAGCGTTCTCCCTATAAAAAGCCGCAAATGTCTGTGTAACAACACAGTGACGTCGCGGTTCTGACTCGCCACCAACAAGTCACCTAATTGTTTATCCGGATAGCTGCTTCAAGTCCACAGACATCAACCATCCACTTAGCACTAGCGACACGATCAAACACAATAAAAACTGCAGGAAAACATTTACAAATACCGTAAACACAGCTACACACGCCTACATGCACACATACATACACCTACGTTCCATTTACATTAACTGGCCACATTTGGTACTCTTAACATGATCATGCCAGTGTGGACGTGCCTCGCTTAGCCAAGAATAAAAATTTTATTCATTTACTTAGTTATAATGTCTTGTATTTCTGGCACATGTTACATGAGCAGACAGCTCCAAAGGGCACATCGATCAACCCAATCGAAAGCGCCTTTGTTGTCGGGAAACACGAGTACGGTTGGTCACCAATAAATATAGCGGTGCTTCAACAATTGATGCAAAATAAAGATGTGACCGATGCAGCCTCGATTTTGACGAAACCCGGCCTACTCCCCACGAAACTGACTTTCACAGGTGTCGGTCAGCCTGCGGAGGACAGACGCAAGAAATTTAGGGGCAATTGAGATCAGATTGATCCCTTTATGACTGCCGCGTTCCGAACGTGAGACTCTCTTGAAAAATTAGGACCACGACGAAGCGGATCGTCCGTTGGGATAGTCTGCTGATCCCACAGGCTAAATGATAAATAGGAAACTTAAGCTACGAAAGCAGGTCCGCCGAATCTGAAGAGGGCTGGGGGGAATTCTACCTGCCCCGGCGGCATTACGCAATTTCAACGGTCTGATCTACTGTTCGACTTTGGCGCGTGACGGATCAAAGGGGACGGTCCAGGGAGATCAGTTAAATCAAGACAAATCCACGCAATTCCAACCAGCCCGATTCTGTGTCATGCAATCAAGGATTTCCATTCTGCCGCGTTCTTTACGCTTGGCTCCGAGGCAAGAAAGATGTACGGACATTTTGTGATCACGAGTCTCTCGCGAATTCCTCCAGTGAGACTCTGCGCTAGTGAACAGAGCGCACCGTCGTAGTCGCCCGCACAGTATGTGTAGGACGTGACCCACCTATCACAGTTGGCGTAGCGGTATTAGCCTGTCAAAAAGGAGGCTCGTCTAACATCGTCGCTGCAAACGTGGTCTTCGTACCATACATGAGCTATTCTCGTAAGACAACCTTACTCAAATCAAAATCCGACGCATGTCATTCACACGAATCGACGAGGAATCGGGACAGACTTCACATTTCGTGGGGGCAAAGGTAGTGCCATACTTAATTTTTTCAATCGTTAAGCGGTTAAGGATGAGTCACATATGTTTTCGATAATTCTTCATCAGGCTAGTACAATTATGTATCAGGTACATCGATTAGACAGACTACTAAGTCGTTAAAACGGGGTAAAATCAGTTTACAAGTGGTCAACTATCGCCAATAATCAGGTCAATGTCAGAGTCTTCACACGATCCAACTGAGTAAAAATCACCACTCGATCGGGCCAGGGCAATTGTAAGATTTGAAAAAATCGCTGTTGAGTGCGCAACGTTGGTTTGTACAACCTGATTGCTATAGCTTCAGCGGCTTCTAGTATCCGTCTGCGGATATACTTTGATCGATTGTCTGGGGCCTTGTAGATACTTTGGAATGCTTCGGCTGGCCTAGGATTGTGGCCTGTGTCGGCAAGGTGGGCAGCTATGGCTGAGTTATATACCCTTCTGCATCTGGTCGCTAGCCATGCCGGACAGTGTTCTTTCATTCTCTCGGATAGACACCTAGTCGTGCGACCAATGTAACCTGAAGCACAGGAACAGGTAAAACAATAAATGCACGTAGAGTTGTCGTGGACAGGTCTACTATCCTTGAGACTGCGCTTTACCATCGGTGTGCTAGTAAAGTAGGTATGTAATTTGGCTGCTAGGAACGTCCGTCTAAGCTCCTGTGATAGACGGCGAGTAAGAATTTCGGCAGCGATCTCCACTTTGTAAGGGAGTTGCAAGAAAATCGCTTTTCTGCTAGTTCTTAAAACAACCGGTGTGTTCATATTCTTCTCCATGTGGACTTTTATGAAGTTATCTGGATAACCATTTTCCCGCAGCAATGTGTCTATTCGCTGTAGTACAACTGCCAGTGTACAAACCAAAGTTGTGCACCCAAAAGCGATTTCCGCAAGCCTTACAACTGCCATGGCCCGATCTAGTAGTGATTTTTAATCAGCTGGATCGTGTGAAGACTCCGACGTTGACCTAATTATTGGCGATAGTTGACCACTTGTAAACTGATTTTACCCCGTTTTAACAACTTAGTAGTCTGTCTAATCAATGTACATGATATATAATTGCACTAGCCTGATGAAGAATTATCGAAAACACGTGTTCGCTAACATTGACTTTTGATTATCTTTATGGGCTTCTTTAAATCTGTAAAACGAAACTTGGCCCCACCGGTTTTGAAACTGATCAACAGATATGTGAGCTACCGGACCAGGATTGCAAAGGCTGGTATGTCTCAGTTTTATTGAAGGCTGCATAGAAAGCGATGTGTACCCATCTAACTATTCAGAATCACTTCCTCGTTCACGAATCATAGCAGATAGGAAAAATTTAAAGCACTTAGCAATGAGCCAGATGGATATCTTGCGTGGCAAGACAGACGAATTGAAACGCGGTATGATTAGTCAATGTAACACTGCACTAGCCTCACTAAAAACGAGAGAAAAAACGGAGCTGGAGGAAATGATTAAGGCCATCGTCACGAAACAACGAAGGAAAGTGCGAAAAAATAATTGTACTAGCTTCGTGAAGAATTACCGAAAACATATGTTCGTTAACTGTGACTTTTGTTTATCTTTATGGGCTTCTTTAAATCATGATCATAGTTCAAATCAGGCAGCCAGTTGCATAGAGGACTTCCAGAGATCACAACAGACATCCTCAATCGCATAATACAGAGCGAGACATGAGGAATACCTGTCGTACACCGCTAGTGACATAAAAGATGAGGAGAGCTTGCCGTCGGCCCTCATTCTGCCGGAGATAATGAACGGATCAATGAATGACTTCTAACCATGGTGGCAGAATGCGTTGGATTGGGATCATCCATTGAGGAAAAACCGCTAACAGGCGTGAAAGATAGTGACGCTCAACGGTACATTACAATCCTATGGAGAATCGGTAGGTTGCACATTCGCCAAACAGTTTGGCACCACTATGTCTGGCATTCTGAGAAACACTTGATGCATCGCACGAGTACGACAACTAGACACGATCCGGTGGTCTCGAAAATGCGAAAGAAGTTTGTGAGACGTAATAATGAACTAGTGAGTAATCAGCCCAGTACCGAAAGTTTACGGGCATTAGCAGTACGCCGGTAGGCAGTACCAACGCTTCGCTGTCGCGCAAGTACCACTTATCGCACGTGCGCTAGGGATATTGCAAGGGTCGCCCTGTCCCTACGCAGGCTCGAACCCGCGCCGTCAGATTGTATGACAAACTCACTAACTTTAGAGTATGGGCCGACAAAACTTTACTGGAACCGACATCGAAGTTAAAACAGCAGAAGCTGGAACACTATGACGAAATTTTACACGTCAAATTTAAAAGATGGGGATCAAAAGAAGGCAAAGTCAGGTGACAACATGCGGCTACCATGCACAGTGAACGATGAGAAGCAGGTGGACAAAACCAAGGATGTGAGCAGATTAAAAGGAAAAAAACTGAATGCGCCAGCCAATTACCGTGAATTTTGTCATCAAATTCTTTTATATCCACCATAGACGTATCGATCAAATATTGTTTCCTGCCGATAGACAACTCGGCTTGGCTGAAAAGCAGAATAAAGCAAGAGTAATTCACATGACGTGACTGTAAGAAAAAACATAAATGCGCACGTGACTGAAGGTGAGAGATTGCGTAGGCTGTTGGGTGTGTGAACACAGATGCAATATAATTAAAAGCACACAGACCAAGCGACTAAGTTTAGGCAGGTGGAAATGAACTAACCCGGTAATGTGGAGTTCCTCTTTCAAAGAGCGCGTTTCATTCGTTCCAAGTAAAGCCAAGTGTTCCGCGACAGATTTGGCCTCACCGCGAAAAGCTTTGCCGAGAGCTTGTTTGTTTGGCACGCACTTGCAGACTTGAACGGGACGCTGACACATATAAAGCAAGATAATACATAATAAATCATTGGGGTTTCTGCTGAACACGGGAACAACGATGAGTCATCGCGACTTAGAGGGGCGAATGGCATGCGAAAATCGACGTACAGGCAAAAGGTGAAAAAGGCATTAAACCTTTTATGACAATGAAGCAGAACAGGATAGGGGGGAGAATCGCACGCACGCACACACACACATTGCATGGCCAAACTACCTTCAGTGGTTCACTAAAGATGCATATGGATAGGGTGTCGACATCAGAAGGATGAGAGATGATTACAGAATATGGCTGATAGTAAACTGATGATAAAAGACCAGGTTAAGGCGAAACATCGTGATTTTGCTCGCCCCTGAGCAGTAGCCAATGACAGATGTCGCTGTTTAACAACGGAAGATACCTTCAACATTAGAACAGCCACTCACAGATGTAGTGTCTGTCCAATCGGTTATGGATTCAAATTCGGGCTACTTATTGCGTCTTGATTGCTATAAGTTAGCGAAATTTCGATAGCGGCTTAAGGCGAACTGAACGTCGATCGTGAATACGACTTTCATTGGGTCCGATTTCAGCTCTAATCGAACAGCTCAAATATCAACAAAAACAGTCATGAAGCGAAGTGCAGAAAGCGATCAACATCTAGCACTTACCCACTTTATAGACGGGTCCCGGTAGTCAAAAAATGTAAAGGTTACGTGTCGCAAGACAAATACGTAGTTTTAACGACCTAGACACGAACTAAAACTTGAAAACGGTTAAGAACAACTGCAGTGCTGTAGAGTTGACGAGGGTTTGGATAAGGAGCTAGTAGTGGGAGCCACAAAAGACAACGAAACCGTGTGAAGGTAGTAAGCGATAGTGAAACTAACGAAAAAAAACTGAAGAAAAATACGGATGAGAATGAATCAAATCGCATGTTTGCCTGATGGTATTGGTTTCGGTCGCGATTAACAGCTATCGCTGAACTCGTCCGATCGTTTACGGAGTAGTAAAGACGTCCTGAGTCATTTAAACCGGTTCGTGAAGCTAAATTTAGTCAAACAGCTACTACATATCTGGAAAAGCGCTAGATGACCGTTTCGTCTTTGCTGAATCACACGCTGGACATGAACACATGACTTTCCTCCGACGAGTCAGGGACTTAGGCCATTGAACCATGAGTGACCATAGTGGCTTACCAGCTAAGATACAGAGCGACCCATTCTCCATTGCCATGCATGTCACCAACGTGTAAGGACAGGATTGTTTCCTAGGGAAAGGACCTCCCTCGTTAAGTTAAAGATCCACACATGAGAGAAGAAATCAGAAAAGGCGTTGTTCAGTGAAACCTGGTATAACAGAATTCTTTGCTCCAACAGCTATCTGGCCAAAGACGAAAAAACAGATGCCACAGTTTTATTGATGCAGGATAAGTGATTCGTATACTATCCCAAAGTGCGATCGGGAAATATGATCCACAAATACAGGACGCTTAAAAACACCATTAAAGACGAGCGCAGCAGGGAGACTAGACTGCTGTATATTCGTGAGTTGACCGAGGATCCATTTACAGTGTTCGACTTTGCATAGCAGTTTATGGTTGGCGGCATCCAGTTTCCGATTTGCCTATCACTGTGGCCAGCCACAGGACGCCTGTGCCTACAGAGGGACCATGGGTGGCTTGCGCTGCACCACCCACAGCTCCGACCCCACACCCCAAATCCAGTGTAAACCCGAAGAAATAAGACCGGAAGGCAGGTGGATGGGAGCCACGTTTCACCAACGGAGCCGGCCCACACTCCTTCACAGACAAACACAAGCACGCTGTATTTGGGGAATCAAGCGCACACACAAGGTGGTGGCTAGACCGTAGTCCGCTCCACACTGAATGCATGGAACCGCTCTTCGAGCCTAGCACGGCCACAAGGACCGTGAACCCCGTCCAATCCATCAAAGACCAACTGTCTCCTGGAGTGAGTATGGACGAGGTAGTAGGTAATAAACAGGTAGGCACCTTGTCAACCTGCACATCAAGCGCAGCCACACCGGGGATATCAAGCAGCAGCCAATCACTTGAAACGACAAGATGAAATAAAATAAATCGAAGAACGCATACAGATACGGTGGCATAACTCTTCGCTAAATTAGCAAATGAAGTAAGTTGGTTATCAACGAAACCGCGATAAGTAAAAAAGGTTCACGTTACTTAAAAGTGCTACGAACGCAATCAAGTTACCGAAGATAAGCGCAATTAGCGTAAACAATGTGGCCGGTTAATAGGAAATTATTCAGGTAGTCAAAACAAACCAAATAAAGTGGAATGAAATTTATCCAGCTTAAAAGGACCTAGTATAAGTGTAAGTTGGTTCAGCCCAACTGCGGTAAGGAAGCACCATGAATGCAACATCCGCGTCAGCATGGGGCACAGGCGTATATATATATATATATATATATATATATATATATATATATATATATATATATATGACAAATCTAGCCCGAAGGAAAATGATAAATGATAGAAAGAATTGCCCCTATGCAGTGAGTAAAGAAAAACCTTCGAAATGGAAGGGACAAGCAACAAACATTTACTAAGCATGGAAGGTGGTGTACACACCGGCTCGGGTAAGCGTTTTTCTGCCACCAAACGTGCACCGGTCGCCTTTGCGTGTTGCGTTAGGTCGAAACAGCTGCGATCAGCACACCCGACACATTCGATCCATCCGTAGCTAGTATGGCACTCTGCATCCCAACAATCGCTGGCGTAGTGTGCCATCTCGTTGGATAAATGCTGCCGGAAGCGCAGTCGACCCGGGTTGACACCAACCACCAACAAGAAAGAGTGAATGCGGGCCATGAAGTAGCCCAGAGTTTCGTTGGCTACGGTGCCCTGAGGACGAGACGAAGAGAGGGGGCAATGAAAATTATAAATCGAGGCGAAAAACATCGGTCACATGAGTAATAAAAGTCAACAAGATGTGAAGAGACGACGGATGGTGAATGAACAAAGATGGTAAGGAATTTCCGAGGAGATTTGTGACAATCGAATGGTGAAGAAGTGGTTCCCGTGGTTAGCTTGTGAAACAAGACTCACTGGTTCGAACCTATGCAGATGAGGTTGGTGTCGCAGTGTCCAAGCCAGTGGCGTTTGCATGTGTTAGCTATCCTCGAATTCGGGATGTCAGGCAGCCATCACACGATCCGAATAGTAGTCATCTCGTTTCACCGGGACCTGAGGGTAGCGCGCACCTACCTTGGATTTCAAAGATGGTATTTCAACTAGTAACCGGTGGCTTATATCATAAGGCAATGCGTGACGCTGTCAGAGTGTTACAAACTGCCAAGCACGTCGCTAAGGTGTAGAGGACAGGGTTGAACAAGGATTTAGTTAACAAACTGCAAATCCTCTCATTAGGCTATAAACAAGCTTAGGTGATGATCGCTTGTTGTGCAACGGTAGATGATGTGACGATAATCTTTGAAAAGGATATTCTCAGTCAAATACAAGCAGTCACAAATCATCCAGGAAAAGTGAAATATAGCTATCTCTCCCTATCAGGACACATCAGCTGTGTGCACTACTTAAATCAACGAGAACTTCGTGAGGGCCGGACAATTAGCAGATCACGTTTCCCGTATGAGGGCAGGTTGCTGAGGCGGTCAACGCCTCATGACATAATGCAGGCGACATAACGATATACAGCTCCATTCCTGACATAACATTGTGCAAGAACATGGTTGGCGGCATCCAGTTCCGGATTTGCCTGTCACTGTGGCTTCCACAGGACGTCTGCGCATACAGAGGGACCATGGGTGGCTTGCGCTGTACCATCCACAATTCCACCCACACCGCAAGAACATATAGACCACCAAGCATGCGTACGTAGGAAAATCGGGGTAAAGCAGTGACGAGCGAAAAGTGGTGAGCACAACTGTGTAAATCTGCACCGAAGCGTATTCAATCCATTTCAAAACGAAATGAGGGTGAAAGCATCGACCACGGTAAAAGTCAAAACAGTGGTAGTCCCGATTCCCTACGATCATGTAAGTCTAACTAAGAGAAAATTCCCTGAAAGCAGCAATCGAGAGGAAGTAAAAAAGAAGGTATCGGCAGTACATTAGACATTTGAACTGGTGCTTCGCTGCCGTACAACCACAACGACCTACGGAAAGAATAACTGAGAGAGAGAAAAGGGGACCTAGCGTAGATCGTTAATGCCCTACATCTTGTGACGTCAATATACCATAAGCACAGCTGGTTATCGTGCGGCGAGACAGCTTCCTTGTGGCCTTCACTGTCCCGCGTCGTTACCAGTCATTACGCAACAGATAACTCAGCGCCAAACACAACTTAAACAGGTAGTCCGGATAGAAGATGACAGCAGATACGTCACTGATGTGGACTGCAAAACATGCCCTGTAACTTCACAAGCGAAGTACAAGGCGGGTTACGTGGACTCCAGCCTGAAGGCGAGATAGACCGACGGCACCGAGTTTGGTCGTCAATGACAGCATTGTGGTGTGGCGGATGTGATTCGCCACTGAATAAAATCATTGCCCAAAACTTCACACTGGCAAGTTGACCAGAGCCACATTTCACTATTATTTGTACGTACACTTCAAGATAAATCATGCCTGCACATTCCGTCACCACTTCACTGTGTACACGTTCATTATTGATCTGTATACTACACACACATGAACCCAGTCTATTGTCACATCACCAACCATTTCGCTCCTCAACAGTACTTTTCCCATTTCTGCAGTTGCTATAATTTTCAGCTATCTTCCCGTTGCATGTAACGCAATGTAGATGTTGCGACACAAATTTGCCTGTAAAATGTTGGTCATGCCTTATTTGAAGTGCCTCGATAAATTCGAGAAAAAAAATTGTTTATTTTTCGCTGCCAACCTAAGTTATGCTCACTTCGAGGCTCGCGCCACAACCAAAACAAGGTATTCGTCGGTAAGCGGTAACCGGGCGTACGTAGTACATGCCCAAGCCAACGCAACTTATTCTGTGCTAACTGTTGTTCAAAGGATTTAGCATTATCACTTCCAACCACTCGCCTACGCACATCAACGTGGCGGACACCGTAGTGCCACCCAACACCAGGAATGCTCCACAGGCAACGAGGAGCAAAGACTTGAGGGCACCTCAGATCGAAGGCGTCGAATTTCACTTCCATAGTAGGAGGGCTGTGACTGCAGCCTTGTAAACACGGCCTTTCAGAGCAATGCAAACTCTTTGCTGACGCCAAAGATGTCTAGGAATCAAAAAGGCATATCTAGCTATTGCAATGCGTGAAGCGACCGCAGTGCTGAAGTGCTCATCGATGCCGATGCAGCTGCCAAGGAAAGTAGTGATCAACTACCTCGAATTTCGCACTATCTAAGGTCAATGAGTCATCAGGTGGCCGTAACAACATTGTACTTTGCAGGTGCGAAACGTATGCCAAATAATGGGACCACACAAGAGAGGCTATTCAAGATTCTTGGGACAGTCCTAACATCGATAAACAGTAGGACTATATCGACCGCATAATCAAGATCAACTAACTTTTCACCAGGAGGCACCACAATGCCCGCATCGCAAGCCTCCGCAAGGAGTCCACCAGGAAGTTGAGCAAAAGTGAGGAAGTTGGACAACCCTGTCGAACACTTGTTGTGGAAAAGACATCTGATAAATCACCATAGACCCTGACGCGGTTTGTGGTGTTCAAGTATAGGGCAGGCCAAATGAATACATATCTCATGGGAACACCTTTCCGCACAAATATTCCGAAGAGAATAAATCGACCGACTGAGTCAAACGCACACTTGAAGTCGAGGAACACAGCTAATGTCGGTCTGCGGTACATGTGGCGCTGCTTTCGCACCTGCCAGAGAGAATATATGATCTACACAGCTCCGTCCAGGGCGAAAGCCTGATTGCACTTCCCTAATAAGAGATGCCCGTTCCGTAGCGATGTGAGCAAAGAGAATTGAAGCCAGTAATTTCGTCAAAACTGGCGCTAGACAACTACCCCTGTGGTTAGCATAGTCAGTGCGACCGTCCTAATTGTATATTGCCACCATAATCGATTCACTCCAGTTAGCCAGGACAGATTCGTTTCATACACGTTTAAACAGGGAGGTCAGTGCTTCGCAGAGGACTTCATCTCCATCCATAAATAGTGCAGGGGAGAGGGAATCCGGGCCAGCAGTAGGAAAAGGATAAAGGGTCGCGGTCGCATTTCGGACGTCTGCCTCAGTTGGACCCATTAAACTAACCGTCCATGGCTCAAGATGCATCACCCGAATAGAAAGAGGTCCAGAAGGAGGCAGCCGATTGAACTGATCTAGAAAGTTTTCCGACCAACGAGCCGAACGGTGTTTCTAATGGCTTCTCGGGACCAGTCTTGCAGATCAACTGCAAAAGCATGAGATAAGTGCCAACTTGTACCTGCTTCCTCCATTTCTTGAGCCCGAGTGGTCCACCAGGTTTCTTTATCAACGTGCACGCGCCGCTTTTGTTCGTACCAAATAGTCCGTCTGGTCACGTTGTGCTCAGAACCAGCTGGGAGCTTTCTTCTGGATTCCAACACGTTCAAGAACCTCTCGGATATCCAGTGACTGATGCGGTTGCGATTTATAGTGCCGTAAGCGGAGGCTCTTGCGTCGTACATGGCGGTCGAGATGCAATTTCACAGAAGCTCAGCGTCATTAGGACAAGGGAGCGAAAGTTCGGAACGCAGTGCATCCCGGTAGGCTTGCATGACCGAAGACCGAGATAACTTCTCAGTTGCCAATAGAAGGAGGTACTTGGTACATTTCCCGGTAAAGTTCATGGAAAAGCTACAGCATACCAAAGCATGATCAGTTGACGCGTTTACTCCAGAATGAGCAACAATCCAGGATGGAACCAAGCCGCCTGTAACTTATGGCAACGTGATCAATTTGAGTCCATCGCTGGCCAGCTACACGAGCAGGCCAAGTGGCACTTCGGTACTCACCGTATCTAAAAGCGGTGCTACTAAGAAACAGCTGGTGTTCTACACACAGTCGCAAAAGACGCTCGCCACTGTCCGTTCAGTCGGAGTTAGTCCATAATTACCACCTAGCTGAGCTTCTGAATAGTCTAGGTGACCTACTTGCACATCTATACCCCCTGCAAGTACGATGATTTGTGAACTTGTAGCACCGCGTAGTAGCGTGTTCAGTTTGTGGTAGAAAGCGCTCTTCGCTGCATAAGAACTGCAGTCGGTGGGGTGCATAAACGTCAGGTGCTACTTTGTGAATCAGTTAGGCTGATGCCGTCAAACGGAGTGAATGCAAAAGCCTGTTCACTGGAATCCAATCAAACAATGATGACCCAGCCTTGAAGTTGAGAACAATGCCGAAACCAACTTGACCAGTGGCTGCCGCAGTAGCGTCTCCGGATGCGTGTAACCAATATAGGACAAGCCGGGTGAAGTTAATTCAACAACCGCTCGATTGTAATTTATCTAGTTTCTGACAATGCGCACGTCAAAAACAGCGCGTCTAACGTGTGTGCGAGTGCATCCTGTTGAACTACTTGCTTTAGAGTGAGTACGTTAAAGGTTGTCAGGGAAACGGGACAGCATGGTTTTACAAGATGTTGGGGAATGTTGTCTAGTGTACGCCGGTACCTAGTAAGGATGCTTTGCGGCCGCAAAATCACGAACATTAGTGTGTGGACAGGATTTTGCGAGTCACCCGCTACCCTATGCAGGCTGAAACCCGCGCTCTCGGATTACAAGTCAAGCTTGTGATCCTTTAGAACACGGGCCGGCATCGAGGAGGTACGTTATGAAAACAACAACGGGATGACAATCCGAAGTCTCACAAATAAGCTCGCTGCAATTTAATTAGTCAAATCTTACAGGCTTTATTAAATTGAACATATTCGTCTCTACGGTGTCTGCAAGAGAGAGGAATGCTTTAAGTAGCAATCAAGTCCGTGTTGCGGGTATCACACAGAAAGAGAAAGAAAAGGAAAACCGGCGGGTGAGCCACCGAAGATCTGTGTACCTCATCCACAGCTTGGCCGATTGTCATGACTCGCGGCGGAAGACCGTCCATTTGGGCACAGGCCGAATACAGCGTCATTTCAGTGTCCCTCACTTGAGCGAATTTCGGATGCCGTTTGTTTCCAGGATCAACGAAGTATTCAATTTCCGCCATAACAAACTCACGCACACGAATTAAACCAGAGCGCGGACTGATTTCATTTCGGAACGCCGGACCAATCTGTGCGGCGCCAAACGGGATGCGCCCTTGATTGAATTGAAGCAATCGTTGGAAATTAACGAATATGCCTTGAGCGGTTTCAGGTCGAAGATATCTTGAAAAACAAGAGACGAGACGAGAAGTTCGTAGAATAAAACACAGGTGAAAAATTTTTTTAAAAAGCAGTAATTTTCACTCGATTTGCAATAGATGGATAATAAACAGCCAAAATAGAAAGATCAAGGAGACAATTGGCGATGATTGGCTAGTATACAATATTCCCGAAAATAAAAGCGTGCGAGCACGCAAGACAACCGAATTTTTACGTGACGATGAATATCAAAAAATCAATCTGAAAATAAAGAAATCGTAGATCAAACAGGGAGGAAATTGGAAACCTGAACAGCAGCCACGGAACTGCAAGGGTTGATCTAGACTGGATCATTGTAAAAGCGGTTGTTACACCCATATTGTCATGGCAAAATGAGATCAGAGTGACTTGAAAACAAGTAACTAATTTACTGGATAAATCACGCCGGAAGATCTGGTTTTCCACAGAAAACTAGGAAAAAATTTGGCAATGTGATAAGCACACACACAAAAGTGTGAAACAGGATTAGGCTTGGGCATAAAAGAGAACCTTACCCCTTGCACTGTCCGCTCGGTCCTATCAAGGTGGAAAACATGAGATTGAACTCTTGAGGTTCCGAGAGAGCATTGTTGGTGGTCGGTGACTTCATATCATACTTCCGAATGATAGCGTCCAATTCATCAGCGCTGAGGTTGTCCAACTGCAACACAGCAGGGAGCAAATGAGTCAGTTGGAAAAGAGGAAGAAATTTAGTAGTTAGAAGTGAAAAAGAATAGAACAAAGCTGATTTTGTCGTTGACTGTTACCAATACTACACTGCACTGTGTAGATACATCAAGAAAATCTAACAGGATCTGAGAGTAGAAATGAGCACGTAGTGGTCCACAGCCGACATCTTGCTGACTAGGTGCACATATCGAGATTGAGAATTGTGATCCGAACTCACTGCAGGTGATCGAAATTGTGCTTCGTCTCCGGCAGTTTTTTGGGGTGGAAATGCTGCTGACTCTATTCGTCGCAAAACAGTTTAAGCTAAATTACACAGGCGCACCCGCAAACGTGTGATATTGTGTAAGATGGCATCATCCCTGAGATACCGATCAGCTAAGCACAGGTGTTTTGGCAGCATCCAAACTTGCAACCAGTTAAAACGATGTCTTTTTCTACACGTAGGTAGCGGGTTTTATAGATAGGGGAGCTTCACAAAGCCGACTAATATGGAGGATTTAACGCAGAAGTCAGGTTTTAGGTTGGGGACTAGATAAAAGACGCTGTTTTGCAGTGGCAACCATTGCATGGTTTGCAATGAGCTGCAATCCATTACCGTGCATTAAGTGGTTCCCAGCTGATATAGGTCAGTCGCCACTTTCAACCAATTCGATGTGCAATAGCAAATTATGCACTGTCCATTGATGTTCTCTGTAGGGAGTATAAGTCGGCAGAAATACCGGTAGGGCTGGACTGATGCTTCACTAGTTTTAGGTATCAGCGAACAACCACTGGAAGTTCGAAATGATTTGGAATGTTGGTAGCACGGGAGGCTTGCTCTGTTGTTGTGGAGTTCTCTGAGCTGGGCAACTTGATTGCAATCAAGTTGCCCAGCTCGGAGAACTCCACAACAACTGAACCAGTGGAAGTGGTGGATTGGTTCTATAGTAGTCGTATCACTTCTACTGATCACATCCCTGAGGATGTTAATTCAAGTATCAGCAAGGCCCGTGCGGCTTTCCAGACTCAACCATCTATAGAGACGGTCGGCTATCAGATTGTCAGTGAAAAGGAGGGTGTATAACGCTGCGATAAGAACGATGTTAATGTGTGAATCAGTGACTTGGCCGGTTAGCAAACAAGAAATTAAAGGTTTGGCTATGCTGGATTACCAGTGCACACGGAGTGTCGCTCACGTATGGTGGTAGCACCGGGTGAGCAATGCTGAGGTCCGTCAACTGGTTGTAGTCAAGACGCCATCTGATGTCTCCATCGAGTGAACGATACACCTTAACCGTTTACGCCGACTAGGTCATGTCCTCTGTATGCTCGTTGAGCAAGTTCGTCGGTGTGCACTATACGTCACCGCTGCACCAAAGTTAAGTGAACTGCGAGATGACCAGTCGATAACGTGGCATAAAAGTATGAAGGAATTGACCGAGATACTTGGTCAGGCTGGTGTATGCCGTCTTCGTGGATGGTCCACATCAGTGGTTGGAGACCGTCAAACATGGTGCAACCAGTTATTAAATTTAATTCCATCCCAGTTGCTATAACACTTCTACTTCATGAGTTCATTTTCACCGCATTCCATTTGCATTCAACCATATGATTTCACCGTTGGTTATCGTTATCCTGGCGACCTAGATGGTCGCAACTGGATCCACGATATTTCGGCGCCCGGATGATAGCTGTTCTACTTAAGTGAACTGCGTTTGCCATAAAAACGCAGCATATAGGAAGAGAAAAGGGGTTGATCTATGCAAGGAAACGAATGTAATGTTCCAATGGAGACAGCTGAATCAGTTCCGACCAGATGGTGACCGTACATCGGAGAAGGAATACAAGAACTGTTTCGACTTTTTGGGACACCTCAAACCATGATGTTTTAAACCCGCAAATCACCTGTCCTGTAGACCGATTGTTGTGGTTCAAACAATGTTGCTGATTTCAACAGCGACATATCCCGATGAAACTCACTAGGTATCTCCACAATAAATAGGAAAAAATATTTCAACCAAAGAACAATCGACACCAAGCACAAGCGTTCAAAGACAAACCTGTAATAATATCTTGCATATTTCCTCTTTTTCTGAATCTGTGGTCTTCTTATTCTTCATCTTCGTCTCCAGACTGGATTTCACAAGGTGATCGGCACGAAAACAGTCGCCAGTTTGCACGTCCTTGACCATCAAGTCGGTGAAACGCTCTACATGACCCGAGGCTTGCAAGACGGGTGCAGGTGTAAGCATAGAACAGTCCACCTCTAGCAACTGATCCTCTATAACAAAGTGCTGGCGCCAGATGCTGAGTAGATTTGCCTTCATGGAGCAGCCCATGGGGCCATAGTCATACAGGCCTTGAACACCTGTAGATAGACCACATAAAAAGCAATGAAAATCACAGATTACAATGAAAAGGTATCCAGTCGATGTGTTCGCTGTAAACGGCACTTGGTGGCAAGCAATACCAAAAAACGGATGCAACGTGGTGGTACGTCTCTCAGACCAACAAGTGTGCCGCGAATTGTTAACCAACAGAGAACAGAGTTCGGCTCATTTCCAGCCATTAGGTGGTCAACGACTCACGAATAACAATCCTTAAAGGAGGCACAGGATACGATAACCTGAATAACAGATTTCGGCATTCAGGAGCAGCCTAGCCCAGCGAGGTGGTAGTGAAACAAATGAGCCACAACTAAGTGCTCCCGCTATCAAGACAACTCGTGGTGATGATGCACTAGATTGATCGAATACAGCTTACAAACCATGGATAAGTCTGCCATGGATTAGTAATGAAAACAGTCTCATACATCTTCCCAAGGCCGCAGAAAGAAGAATGGCATCAGCAGTACGCCGGTACGCAGCACCGACGCTTCGTTGCCGCGTAATCACCAACAGTCGCACGTGGGCTAAGGGTAATGCGAGTTATCCGGTTTCTACGCAAGCGCGAACCCTCACCCCAAAGGCAGGCTACGGGCCGTAAGAAGATGAGAGAGATATTGGTTGACCACCAATCGGTGGTCCGTTTGGTATGTCTGGTATGAAGAAGCTCGGAGTGCTAAATGGCGAACGGAGTGGTTCCGCCCTTCAAGTGCGTTTGCAGAAACTTGGCTGGCCGCAAAAGCAAAGTGTACACGTGTGGCGAAAGTAGCTAGGTAAACTGATGACAGATTAGTCTACTCTGGGTATAACCAAAGAAAAAATATACCCCAAAGTCATGATAGTTGCGTACCGGCTAGTAGTTTTCCAGAATAAACTAACCAGAAGATGGAACGAGTAGCAAAATCGAAGCAGCTCTAGTTATCAAGGAATACAATCCAGGTGGAGTGTAAGTGTGCATAGTGATGACCAACCTAAAGACTAAATCAATTTCTGTTTCAATCTTTATTGCTCCATTGAGACCATCTATCTTCGGACTGATAGGTTTTCATCTCCAATAGTTAATCAACTGTGTAGGAAAAAGAACAGGCATATAAATACAACTTAACGGCAGATGTCAAATGCCTGTCTGTGGCTATGAAAAGGGATTACACAGCCTATACATTGAAGCTGTTTTAGGAAACCACAGTTGCCGTGACCAGTAACCCACTCCATACTGTGAAGGTGGACAAGCTTAACGCAGAAGCTTAGCTCCTCAACATGAAACACGCTCCCCGTACCTTCTTCCAAACCAATAACCCTCCCACTTTATCTGATAAAATCAGTGTTTACGGGGAACGCGGAAGACAGAAGTTAGAAAAGGCAAGTGGCCCTGACTCACTGTCTCCAATGGCTCTGAGTGTGTAGACGCATTACAGTCACCTCTGACAGAGATTTTTAACCAATGTTTAACGACTGCCACCATCCCCGACATCTGGAAAGCAGCCAGAATAACACCAGTGCTAAAGAAAGGATCACAGGAGGATCGGCCAATAGTGTGCCACTCCGTGCTGCTAAAGGTGCTTGAAAGTTACCTAATTTTCCGAGTCTTTAAAAGCACTTATAAGAATGATAACAAACAGTTTGAATGAGACAGAGCGTTCTTAACTGAATGCCGTTGCGTGTATAGCGCATTTCATTGCATCTGCGGATTCTGTTCCTTGATCATGCTAATGATTTTGGAAGCATTGACAGAACGTTAGTACCACACTGTTTGTTTAAAAACGGCGTTCCATCATAGGCATGTAATGAAATGCACGATTGCATTATGAATTACACATAATCCCCGAAGTTATGCGGAAGATCTCCTGTAATCCCAGACAAATGCATGTATTACGCCCCATTGGCAGTACTGTTTAACTGTTGATTTCCCCGGACTTCCTCAAAAGGATCATGCCGGTGGGCTGGTAGGCGTAACACGTGGCCCAGCCATCGGAGCTTGGTACCTGAAATGACGGTGCTGAGCAGTGCAGAACCATTTCCTGAAACGTAAACAAGGCATTGAACACGCTCGTTGCTCACGCGGTGTTCCCACCAGACGTGAGCTATATTACGAAGGCACCGGTGGTCGAACTTAACTAGCCTCTTCAGATCCGCTGCTTTAAGCGGCCAGGTTACACAACCGTACAGTAGCAGCGAACATACCGCTCCATTGTACACTCTACCTTTCGCGCCGGCGCCATAAGTGGCGAAGACTAGCAAAAGCGCCTTGAGCTTTTGCTATACGGTTCGTGATCTCTTCAATCCCACGAGCGCTGATACAAATTCCCAGGTAGTCGAATTTCTGAACGACTTCTAGCTGATCCCCACCAAGGGTCAGCGTAGGAGGCGTTCCAGGCCAATCTTGGAGGAGCGCTTTGCACTTCGATGGTGCAAAGGAAAGCACGAAGCGGCTGACAGCCAGTGCTAATCTGTCTAGCGCGGCTTGGCACGTCTGGGAGCTGTCACAGATGAGGGCAATGTCGTCTGCATACTCCAAGTCAAGAAGTCGTTCTCCTGGGAGTAGCTCCACACCTTCCAAGTCATGTCCTGTAAATGCAAACTCCATGACTTCGTCAATAGCGAAGTTGAAGAGGAAAGGTGACAGTGGGCATCCTTGTCTCACACCGCTGGAGATATTAAAAGGGTGGCGACAGCTTGCCGTAAGCCCTTACTCTGCCCGTGCTACGCGCATATAATGCTTGGATAATATTTACATATTTCTCGGGCACACCTTTCCTGAGTAGACAATTCCAAAGGGCACATCGATCAACCGAATCGAAGGCACCTTTGATGTCGAGGAACACGACAACGATGGGCCGCCAATATGTGTGGCGGTGCTCCAACAACTGACGCAAAGTGAAGATGTGGTCAATGCAGCCACAACCACGACGAAACCCGGCTTGCTCTTCACGAATCTGGCTTTCACGAGCGCCAGTCAGTCTGTGAAGAATTATGGAGGCGAGTAATTTGGAGGCGATGGAGATCAGACTGATTCCTCTATGGTTGCCGCATTCCGAGCGAGAGCCGCCTTTGAAGATGGGAACAATAACGGAGCGGCTCCAGTCGGTTGGGACAGTCTCTTGCTCCCACAGTTTCACTAGTAATTCATGCAAAGCATCCACAAGAGCAGGGCCTCCGAATTTGAAGAGGGCTGGAGGAAGATCATCTGGTCCCGCGGCTTTGTTCAACTTCAACAGTCGGATCTCACGTTCGACTTCTGAGCGAGAGGGTGGATGATCCAAAGGGACAGCCCACGGGGCAGGGCGATCAGTGACCGGCGAATCGGACAATTCTAGCCGATTAAATTGCTTTTCAAAATGCTCAGCCCAACGCTCCAAACGTTTTGACAAATTGTGGATAGGCTGTCCACTCTCATCACAAATTGTTTCACTAACACCAGATCTCCTGCTGCCCGTTTCCCGTATCAGACGGAATAACTTACGATGGTTGCCAAGGGCAGCGGCCACTTCCATCTCTGACGCACGATGAGACCACCAAGATTCGCGGTCTCTCTTCAGGCTAGCACGGAGTTTTGCTCGGAGCTCTTTGCGAGTTTCATTGTGTTCGCTTATGACCGGAATATGCTGCGAGCATCGATAAGTTCCAGAGACTGCGAAGAGACCAAACGTACATGTTGGCGATAGGACTTACAACATAAGAACTTCCCTGCAAGTAATCAACAACAATCAACAACAGCAGTACATCAGACATTTGAACTGATGTTTCGCTGCCATACAACCATAATGACCTATGGAATAAAGTATAATAAGAGGGGAGAGAAAGGAGACTTACCGGAAAACCTTAATGCCCTAAACAAAGACACAAGGTCAAGGCGCCCACACCTTGTGTAGACAACATACCGTCACCGAACAGCACCTGATCGTGTGAAAGATAAGACGCGCATCGGCGTAGCCAGATTCCGTGCGGAATATCACATCCCCCCAGCATATCCAACCATTATCAAGCAGATAAGTCAGCAACAAACACTTTAAACAGGCAATCCGATTAGGAGACGGCAGCAGACGCGCCACTGGTGTTGGTTACAAGCCACGTAATGTAAAGTCTCGAGCCAAGCACAGGGCGAGTCATGTGGACTAGAGCCAACAAGGCGAGACGGACCCAACGGCACCCAGTTTGGAGTTGTCAGTGACTTCATTTCCTGCTGCCATGTCAACTTCTGTCCACCTCGAGCCTTGCGCCACTCTAAACCTGGTAAACTTAACAAGGCGCTCCTAGGTAAGCGGTGACCAGGCATCCGTAGCACGTGCCCAGGCCAACACAAATTATTCAGTGCGGATCTGTTGTTCTAGGGACCACACGGTAGCATGATCATCACCACCCTAGTACTCACCTACGCACATCATCGTTGCGGGACTCGCTGATGCGATCTCCGACACCCGCAACGGCTTTCGCAGACAACAACCATCAAAGGGCGCCTCAGATCTTCAGACAGAAGAGGCCGTCTCACTACCATAGAGCAGAACGGCCCTCACTGTGGCCTTGTATACACGGCCTTTCAGACGGAGGGAAACTCCCTTCTGTCGCCAAAGATGACGCAGGTTCAAGAAGGCAGCTCTGGCCTTTGCAATGCGTGAGCTGACGTCAGTTTCTATGCGCCCATCATTGCTGATGCAGCTGCCAAGATAAGTGAATTGATCAACCACCTCGAGTTCCTCGTTAGCAAGCGTCAAGGGGTCATCAAGTGGCTGGTGGTCCTGCAGCAACACTTTGCACTTTGAAGGTGCGAAGTGCATACCAAATAATGGGACCACTCTGGATAGGCTATTCAGGGTTGATTGTGCCGCCTCAACATTGTCGAAAAGCAAGACGATATCGTCCGCATAATCTAGATCAACTAACCTTTCACCAGGCAGCACTTCAACGCCTACATCGTGAGATTCCGCAAGGGAACACTCCATGATAGAATCCACGACGAA